AGAGAGAGAGAGAGAGAGTTTTGCCCCAGCGGACAGTGTGCAGAGGTGTAGGTGGATATTTGATCTGTTAAGCGTCCATTCGGTCTTGTTGTCCCTGCAGTCTCTTACACACTGGGCTGATTGATGAGGCCTGTTTGCATAGAGCTCTGGGGAGGCTTGCTTTGCTCGCCTCACTCTGTGTGTGTGTGTGTGTGTGTGTGAATGTGTGTTTGTGTGCAAGAAGATAAGGAATCCTCATGTGGAAGACTCCTACATACTGCTGCACTGCATGGAAAATTCATTTACTGACATTTCAGACCATGAGCTCCTCATCATAAATGCTGGAGTGTGCAGGGGTCTCTGATTGCTCTAAGACTGCTATACTTCCTTGCACGTTACCACCCCCTACTGGCAATCAGTTGAATGCGAACACGCTATGAGAAAAACAGTTTGAGTCTAGTTTGAGTCAGTACCAATAAAGAATTGCCCTAGAATTGCCCCTAGCTTTGTGATTTTACATACTTGTGTCCCACAGTCATGAACTTCTGTGTTTGTATGTGCAAACGTGTGTGTGCCCTTTCTTTACACCTCCTCCAACCACAGCGTCACAAAGTCTATCTGTAAAGCTGTCAACCTCCCATTAACCCCAGACAGAGCTTTAAAATAGTCATGCTAACCTACTTCTCCACCTTCCCTCCTCCACACGCCGGCTGGCACAGCAGCACATGTGTGTCTAAAGGGCCCCGTATAGAGTTACGCTGGCTGCTATATCAGTGTGCTTGGACCAAATTTAAGTCCATTTACATACTGTGAGCCATGGAAGAAAGAAATGGTGATGGAAGAGAATCGGTGGCTCCGGAGGAATGGTCCCACTTTCTAAAGTTAGAGTGAGATGTGAGACGGTGAGGAAAGAGTGAGAGAAAATATAGAAAAGAGCACATGTAGTATTTGTGTGTTCGCTCTCCTCCTGTGTGTGGTCCTGTGCCTACGGAGATGATGGACGATGGCATGTGTACACACAATCTGCTGACTCGGCGACTGTTACATTAACCATTAATTGCCTTTTTCCTCCCTGTGTTCGTGTGTGTGTGTTGTAGTTAATGGCTTGTGGTGTGCAGCAGGGCAAAGATACTGCAGGACTCACTTAATATTCCTGCCACCTGCCAGCCATAATCTCCATCCTGCAGCACCTCTCAAGCCCCTGTGCTTTAAACTACTGTTGCTTTGTTTCTCTGCCCACAAGTATGTTTCTCTACACCCTCCTATTCATATTTCTCTTGCGTCTATGAGTGTATCTGCTTTTAAATCTCCCTCAACATCCACTTAACTTCACCCTCGTGAGCGTGAGCGTGTCTGATATGACTCCGCTGTCTTTGATCAGCATCGGCATGTTACTGTAATCTGAGTGGAGCTTTCGAAATGGGATTGAAATACATGCAACTAACCGTGTATGATTGAGTTTTACAACCTTGTGTTTCTTAAAAGGAGTGAAAAAGCCTCCCAGTGAAGTGAGAATAGTTGGTCTGGAGCCATAAAGTTACACTTTCTTTAAAAAAAAAACCCCTCAAGAACTGAAATGTAACCACGAGCTATCCTCACCTCATTGGCAACATTTTTCATTACTTTAGAAATTTGAATACGAGTCTGTCTTGTGAAGATGCTTTTGCAGGATGAGGTTTTGTACAGTTGCAGTGCAGTTGAGTTGCTATATAAATGTGGCGTAACATGGCCTACTCTTGCTTTAGTTTTTTTTCTTGTATTACAGTATGCTGCTGTCCCACGCTGTTGCTAGGGCGATGACTTTGCTGCCATATTGTTGCCATGGTTTTGCTTTGGTTTTGGAGTGTTGTTGCCTTTCCCTGTTGCCGTGCAGCTGCTCTGTCGTCGCTGTGGTTTTGGCTTGCCGCTGTGTTGTTCTCAGTGTTGGTGTTGCTGAGCAGGCCCACTTTGACCTGTATATGAACTCTGCCCCTGTAGGTCATCATGCCCCCCTCCAGCCGCTGGTCACTGGGCCACATTTACACCCCTCACCGGCCTCCTCTCCACCCTCCTCTTCCTCCCCCTCGACTCTTCCATCTTCCTCACAAAGCTCAGTCACAGGTCCTCCACGCTTTTCTTTCTCTTATCCTTTATTTCCACATGATTTTTCTTTTAGTCGAGGAGACAGCGCCGTCTGTAAGTGCTTCCATTTTATCCTGTCGCTCTGCATCCTTGTGTGTTCTCTTTGCAGTGACTGTTTATGTGTCTCATTCTTCGGTTACTACCTCTATCTCCATATCAACAGTTAGTAGCATTGCTATAAAAACAGGCAGATGTGACGCTTCAGCCACTCCTGCAAAGCCGACCCATTTCATTTCTTTACAGCTAATACAGCGAGCCGAATGCAGCCCCTGACTTTAGTGCCTCAGTTTTTATATGCCCCACTGCACCAATTCAACCCCTGGATGGGGGATACACTGCCTCCTTAAAGATGCACATTTGAGATGGTAAATGTATGAATAAAGTGTTTAAAGCAATAACCACTACTTTAAAATCAGTTTATAAAAACACTTAAGCCTGTTAAAATCTACACTGAATGCTTTGAATGAGCTTTTACACTTTTACAGCAATTTCCCTTCAGATCCACACAGTTTTTTTCCCCCCATCCACATCTTCATCTTGTACACAAGGCAGTTGAATTTTTAAAGGATCATCAAAAGAAGACTGCACTATCAAGAGCGTACACAGTGCATCAAGAAACGATTCAAGTGTGCTGAGTGCATTAGACTCCCATTGCATGTTTTGCATCGGCTTGGATAACCGAAGTTGCTGCCCTTTGAAGGTCTGCAGAGGCAAATCACACACTGGCTATCCCTGCAGCATTACTTCATGTTCTTACGTTCCGACCCTTCTGCAGAAAATAAAAAAAAAGGGGTGTTGATCTAAAACTTATTTTGAAGGCAGACATAGTTCAGTCCGTG